CAACAGTTTGGCCTCTGGTGCTCCGTAAAACAGCTAGGTTAGAAGCTGCGGCCCCATATATGCAGTCTTGGAGGATCGGTACGGTACCTAACTTTTCTGATCCAAGAGGCGACGATCGCGAGCACTATGGAACGAATGAGAGATGAGTCAAAAATGCTTTCGTAGACTCAAGTTCAACCGAGGGAAGTAGTTCAGATAGTGGTTCAGATAGTGTGATTTTATTAAAGTCGCCCGCGCACTTCGAAATCTTCACAAGTCAGCACCTGGAATACAGCAGCATACTGGACATTGTGAAAAGCAGAGTGTACATCTGCTTTAATAGACGGTGAATAGTATTGAAAGTCTTGGAACTATATTGGTACTGCTGAGTTCTATCGAGGTCACATTAGTTAATAATGAAACAGAAGACGTTTCCTGGTAGAAGTAGGCATTTCAAACTAGCATCGGGCGCGCCTCCAATCACCAGATCGCTACAACTCTGACCTCCAGGCTTTCTCTAGCTTCGACACTATCGTCTTGACCCTCCAGCTCGAATGCGCTGTGGATAACACCGCCCACGCTGGGCTCGGACTTGTTCTCTTGCTTTGCGGCCTCGAGGGCTTCCATCTCGTTGTCAAATAGTTGTATGATTAAAACGTCCTCGGGTTCTTGGTTGGAGATGAAGTGCCAATCATGGCTGTTTCCGCCGCTGGGCTCATATGCCAAGTAGCTGTTGGAGAGGTGAGTAGGAGCCTCGTCGTCGTTGGCGTGATCGTCTCCGGAGCTGCCACCTTGCGGATTGCTCGGGTCGATGATTTGAGACAGATGAGGAGGGATGAATCGGCCGCTGGGCTGGATGAGATCGATGGCGACGTAGTCAGAGGTGGGGAATGTCGCGCACGAGGCCACTGCCAGGGGATCTCGACGGACCGTCTTCAGTGATCGCCAGACAGAGAACAGTGCGAATCGGGGTATTCCCGTCTCGGCGTCTCCATTTCCATAGTGAAGTTTGAGCTCTTCCCACCGAACGCCAGACTTGAGCAATTTGTTCTCGGCTTCAATGACGGGTTCCGTTGCCAAGGCCAGGTTGCGATGGTACTTGCGAATGTGTTGCCTTGCCCCCAAGGGCGAGAAATCTAGGTGTACCTTCGGCGCCGGTGAGGCTCCGCCAGCGTTGGAAAATCCAATCATGCGGGGGCATGGCCCGCTTCATCCGCCTTGAAGTCGGCCCCGGAATGCTCCTTCGAGTGCGAGTCGACCTCTGTGTGGACATTATTCCGAAGCACGGCAGACTCCACGATTGCCGTTTTGCATCCTGTTATCCTCTTAATCATTGCCTCTACCTCGGGCATGTAAACGGACTTGATGAGCTCCGCATTATACCAGCTTTGGATCTTGTGAGGGGCCGAGTGCAGCTCCGAGGGCTCTCGGCGCGCCGTGAAACCATGGACGGCGAGCTTGAACGACGAGGCATCGCCTTGTGCAAGTGATGGGCGGATATCCGTAACAGGAAGGGTAACAGGATCGTTGAAATCCGAGAGCGGTGGTAAGTGATAGAGGTTAGGATTAGTGGCCAGCTTCTTCTCCTTGTTCACATATCGGAACTTCCCTGCGAAGCCGGAAGAATTGTTGGTCGCCAGCGAGGTTGGAGTCGCCGCCTGAATGGTGTTGGTAGATGACATTGTATTAAATGAGTTTTGAGTATATCCGGTGCAATGGTGATCAGATGTAAGTCAAATGAGCTGGTGACTAGTGTAAGCTCTCTACTTGTACTTTTCTCGACGCCTGTGGGCTTGAAATATACGAAACTTGTCCTCACAAAGCACATGGATACTTTGCTTACTTACAAGTCTTACTACGAATCCAGAGTCCAGAACTTTCAAACGCCAGCTCTTTTTTGTGGTCCCGACGTGCCTGACGTCGACGTCCCCAACTTGCCTGATTGGGGTTGATTAGGAGCAACTAACGGTACCCGTGTTACAGACGCAACTACGATATACCTTATGTAACCACCTTGGCTGAGCCACTAATAATTGCATCTAGCTTTCCAAGGTGGGTAAACACGGAGCAACTTGTGACAAAGAGTTTCTTATGTTTCTGGCCGAATTTGGTCTTTCATTTATTTCTCGTCGACTCAATTTGCAGCATCATTCCCAACCCCAATCCCAAATCCGCGCAAGATGGTCTTTAAGCAAAGCCAACTCACGGTGGAGCAGCTGCCCTCAATCCTCGAAAATGACACCAAAGTCAAGGTGGCGGGCGTAGATGTTGACGGCATGCTTCGGGGCAAGATCATGGCCAAGAGCAAGTTTCTCTCCATTGCGCGGAAAGGATTCGGCTTCTGCTCTATCATTTTTGGCTGGGACATGCATGACAAAGCGTATTTTCGCGATCTCAAAGTCTGCAACTCGAAGAATGGTGCTCGGGATCTCCTCGCTGTCCCGGATCTTGCAACGTACCGCAGAATACCATGGGAAGAGAACATACCCTTTTTCTTCCTAAACTGGCATGACCCAGATACTGGAAAGCCACTACATTGCTGCCCGAGGGGTCTCCTGAGCACTGTTGTATCCAGATTGGAATCAAATGGAATGGGCGCCGTGGCTGGAGGTAAGGAAGCCGGTTGGTACACTACAATCAAAAGCTAATGGTGAATATATTAGCCGAATTTGAGTTCTCGCAGTTCAGAGCGCCGCAGACTGGCCGCAACAAGCCCAACGTTGCCGCCTTTCTCCGCGAGAACCCCACGGATGCCCTGCCTGCCCTCACGGAGGGCAGATTCGGCTATAGTCTCACGCGCCCGACCCAGAATCAATCTTACTTTCATGACATATTCAATACATGTGATAAGTTTGACTGTGGTATTGAGGGTTGGCACACCGAGAGCGGCGTGGGCGTGTTCGAGGCTGCTTTATTATTCGATAGCATATCGAATATGGCAGACAAAGCCAACCTCTTCAAGTATATTCTCACATGACACTTTGCAACAATAATTTCTTACTTTTACCAGATATGTTGTCAAGTCCGTGGCCACCAAGTACGGTGTTACGCCATGCTTCATGGCCAAGCCACGCGAAGGGGAGCCTGGAAACGCCGGCCATATCCACATCTCGATCGTCGACAAAGAGAACAAGAACCTGTTCTACCGAGAAGCTAAAGACGAGGAAGCAGAATGGGAAGATATCGCACATCTGTCTGACGTGGGAAGACACTTCCTAGCTGGTGTCATTGAAGGCTTACCTGACATCATGCTCATGCTCGCTCCCACGATAAACTCTTACAAGCGCCTTGTAGAGAACTTCTTCGCGCCTGTCACCGTGTCCTGGGGTTTGGAACATCGCGCGAGCTCGATTCGCCTGATCACGCCGCCGACGTCGTCGCCAAACGCATCACGTATCGAGGTGCGCGTACCCGGAGCTGACACGAATTCATTCTACGTTTACGCCGCGGTGCTGGCGATAGGATACCGCGGTATCGAGAAGAAGCTTCCACTAACCCTGCCTCCCCTAGGCAAAGATCAAATCACAGGGGGTGTGAGATTGGCGCAGAGCCTGAAAGAGGCGACTGAGAAGTTCTCGAACACACAGAGTATTGCTCGTGAAGTCTTTGGGGATGAATTTGTAGAACATTTCGCGGGCACAAGACAACATGAAATCCAGCTTTGGGATCAAGCCGTGACAGACTGGTTGGTTTACCCTCCGCCATTCCCAAAGATCATTCCCATTACTCTGCCCCTAGCCATACTTCCCCTCTCCCTGGCACCCGCCCAAGGACCCTAATCTATGGCGAGCAAAAAACTGACGTCTGGCAGGGAAGTTCGGAGGTACATTGAGACTGTTTAGACTTCGCCTGTGTTAATCCCTATAACGAAGAATTTCACGGAGTATATGGAGTTGTAGATTTGGGCGCGGGGTTTTAGTATCAATTAATTTTATGACTCAATTTGATGTATTCCTCCCAGTCTGAAACGTAAAACACGGCCAATTGCAGCACCTTGATAGTATTTTCATATAGCGGCTTTTGCATTTAAATTCTGTCTGCTAGACATGGAGTCCCTTAAATTGTGGAGGTTCTAAATGCCGAAGATGAAGGCACGCATGTCAGATGTCAGATCGAAAAATAGGTGATAGTCACATGACATTCTGTCACCAAACTCCTGAATTTGAAAATAAGCATTTTTCAGCTAACCAAACTTGGCAAACTTGAGATATCATGAAGCACGGTTTGAACACTTTCTTCTGGATACTTGTATAGTTATTATATATTTATTAGTGGGCTATAATAAAAGACTCTACTTACCATTGTCCGGGTTGTCCTACGTTCCTGACAAACGAAAGAAAAAAACGGTCAGCGCACTCTAAATAAGCATAATAACTGCGTGCAGGGCACTAACTGCTTATGACTAGTTACCTAACCACTACGCCTACTTGGGAAGATCCGTGTGCCCCAGTGCCGCTCAGCTTGATTCGCAAAGTGCAGTGCTCTCCCACGCGAGTGGCCTCTTTCTGCCGAAGGATCATGGAAATGGAAACATTCTAGACTGTATAAGACTGACCACGCCGCCTAGTTGTCAATTACCCGGTGCGAATCGCGTACCTAGTTATGTGCATAGCCCAGAAAATTCGTTGCGCTAAGGTCTGGGGGTGGCATAAACTATTGGGCCTGGTCGATGGTAACAATAAGCTCGTATCCAGTCATCCAATAGCCACAGTCGGACCCAGCCTGGCGTGTAATCAAAGGGCCGGCAGGGGTACCGGCTCGTTGTTAAGCGGCACAGCGAGGACATATAATGGGTCGCCAGGCAGCCGATCTGATCTCTGCGGCCTAGCATCTTTTCTTCGGTCGCTTCTTCAATCCCGCCAAGTTGGACTAGACAGGGATCGCTCAGCATGTTTGGCTCGAGTTTAATGCTCCTCGGAGCGTACCTGACAGCAATCCATGTCCTCTCCGGTAAGGCTAGATGAACCCAACGCCAACACCCGTCACGATGTGCAATCTTGGAAATCTGACTGCATGATTCTATTAGGTGTGAGTGCTTTGGAGTGTGATGATGGTATAGTCTCAATTTCGAATTCTTCAGATATCGATTTCTACAAGACCTGTCCAATAATTGACAGCACCCTGTTTTACATCGCCCACGAGTTCACGGGCCCCTTCGATTTGCCCGGTGTTGAGTCCTTGCCTAAAATAAGCTCTGGCTATCTCGGACCAAAGCTCGAGGGTTCTGATTGGGTCGAGGATGGCGTGACCACTGTCTACATGCCCGATCTCGTGAATTTGACGTACGCCGGAATGCTGTTTGGCTATATTGAAAACCTGACTAGCGTCTCGTTCCCGTAAGTTTCTACATTGTTCCAGGTCGCCCAAGAGACATGGCGTGGATAGGTCGCTTCTCGCCTTCTGTGCCGTGGTATTATCGTTGGTCCCGCGCGGAGATATTACTTCAAGTCGCTAATAGGTTGATAACGATATAGAAAGCTCAATTTCATCGAGGGAGATATCGCCATTGTGGGTGATTATAAACTTCGCAACGTATCATTGCCAGCATTGTCTACTGTTGTTGGAGCGGTGCTCCTTGACGGCCATTTTGACCAGCACGTATTTCCCGCCTTGAGGCGTGGCTGACGTCTCTTTATCTGTTTTAAAATTTTGCTTACATATTTCCCAGAATCGATTTTCCGTCGTTAAAGTCGGTATCGTGGATCAGAGTCGAGTCCACCGGAAATATTAGCTGCCCAGCCTTGGGAGCAGCTTTCGCTTCTCTCAACTTTACTGGCGATGACACCGACCTGTACCAAGGGTTTACTTGCTGGACCGGGGACGAAAACAACAGTTGGAATTCGTCAGATCCAGAAAACAACCCGACAACCGGGGGTTCGACTGGTTCAGGATCAAGTTCGACATCAGATACCCAGTACGGCTATCCCAGTTCCCAAACCCAGTATATCGCCATGCTAACGATGAATCTAGAAATAGTGCCGCAAATGCAACGCGTGTTGGTTGGGTGGCATCCTTGTTGCTGTTCTTGGCGTGGGCGCTCTATTGACCACACTCACGGCGTTATCTGGGATGAGCCATTTATGATAATCTGTAATTGATTTCCAGACGTCACCTTTGTTTGCTGTAACAGCGAGCGGATAAACAATTATGGAATAATATATAATAGACCAAAAGAATACTTTAGCACGATCCGAATTAAAGTGCACATAGTGAAGTATAACTGTCGTTTCACTGGGTAGGATACCACATCTTACAAAGAAGTTTAGTTAGCTTGTTCAGAATAGACGTGATCCTATTATATGTGAGTATATTAGCCCCAAAGAAGGAAGAGAAGAATCCATCGTACATTGCCCGAGCATTACGGTTGCTATATGGGACACTGGAAGCCCGATGGCGAGATTATACGCGGTATGGGCGAGGCAGTACGGAAGCTGCCAAAATCCGACAGAAACTGCAAAACGGCCATGGACGCAAATCGAACCGCGTCGGTCACTCTGCGCGGCTCCAGTCCCAAGTGGCGGGAATAATACTAGGTGTTGCAGGTGCGGCAAAAGGAACAATAAAGAATTCATGAGCAATACTAATTTACACCGCCCCAATAGATTGCTAATTGAAGCGGAACGACCATTGGGTATTTATAATATTTATGTACCTCACCAATCAGTTATCGAATAGGGCGACAGCGCGGATTGGGCTACCACTACCCTCGACAAACTTCAGAGGGAAGCCAATGAATCGGAATCTGCCCTTGCCCAGCAGGCTCTCCAGGTTGTCCAAACCCTCAATGTGCGTGATGCTCCGCTCGCCGCAGATGTTATGTGCGAGGAAGTTGAGCTCGCCTTCGGGGGCGGGGGACACGGCCTCGACACCAAAGATCTTGCAACCCTTGTCGGCAAGCCAGTGGACCGACTCGGGAACCAGACCAGGAAAGTCGTGCTGCCACCTGGGATCTTCGCAAGACACCCTCTTGTTGAAACTAGGAAAATTGTCAGGAGGGAGACCGAGCCAGTAACATTTGTTAGGAAAGGGAAAAAGAAAAAGAAGAAGAAAAAGAGAGAAGAAAAAGGGGGAGAGTAGGAAATCATTCGTTCACTTGCGCCATATACAGCAAAACCGTGTCGCCCTGCTTGATTTCTTGGTCCGACTTCTTGAGTGCTTCCTCCATCTCAGGGACTGTGATGCCCGCCCTGAGCTCGGCGTGGCTGAGATCCAGGCAGATGCCCTCGGTGTAGAAATCCGTCAAGGGCATCTGGTCAATGGACAGGGCGCCGGGCGCCGGGTCGAAGTGTTTCGGGGCGTCAATGTGCGTGCCGGCATGGTCCGACATGGAGATGTAGTAAGACGAGCTGCGAAAGGTGGCCTCGCCGGCGACCATGGGTTGGTGCGTGTCCCATTTCGTCATGACAAAGTGCGGGTGGAAGGGATGGCAGAGCGATCGGTGCTTGAGCGGCCGGGTGAGGTCGACTATCGTGGGTTTTGCTGGCGCTGCTGTGGAAGCTGCCCTGCGCGATGGCAAAGCGTTAATGGAGGAGGAGCCCACGGAGGTACTGGGGAGCAGAGCTCGAAGGGGCAAGCCGAAGCTTGAGATCTGTCTAGCTGTTCTCATGATTTTGGTGTTTTCCTCCAGCCTTTTTCTCTTTCTTCTTCTTCTTCTTCTTCAGTCTCAATTTCACAGGTCGATAGCTGCCACGGTTTGAATCTTGAGATGGTGTTCAAGCTGGATGGGAAAGATTGACCCTACGAACGCAGATATGGATTATGACCTAATGGGACGGATTACCTTTTGCAAGTCATGTATGGTCACAGTAAGTATAACTTGTAAGCTAACACCGTTTGGGCGATTCGGGGTAGCTGTTGGACCCCTGACTGGGGCGTAGACCCCACTAATGAGCACTACTATACTCTGTACAGCTTATCTACCTGCATTAATAACACCAAATGCTGAGAATAGGACTATATCAGGGTCACAGCTTTCAACGGCTTGTCATTGGAGACATCAAATGTACAAACTGGGGGCTGGACCTCATTGTGAGCTTTAATAACGGAAAAAAGACAGCCCCGCGTCATTGTTTTTTGTTGTGACTGCTACCCTTCTCGAGTCTCGAACCGCCCTTTTGCATACCACCATGGCTCAGAAGACCCTGTTCCCCGGCGTGGCAGTTCTGACAGGCGCTGGTGGAGTTGGTATGTTAGCGATCGCCAAATACTACCAACACCCACATGATTAATGTTTTTTTTTTCTAGGTATCGGTGCGCATACCGCTCTCGCATTTGCACGGGAAGGTTGCCGCAGGATCGCAATCACAGACTGGAAGCCGGACCTGCTGGCACAGAGCCAACAGGCAGTCAAGGACACGTCACCCGACGTCACAGTTCTCGCTCTATCCGGCGACATCACGGACCCGGCCTTTGTGGACTTGTTCATCAACGCCGTCGTCGACAAGTTTGGACGGGTCGACTACGCGGTCAACTGCGCCGGGATCCTCGGCGACGATGTGCGGTCCACGGAGCAGAGCCTGGCCGCTTTTGACGCCATCAACAACGTCAACTACCGAGCTTGTTGGCTATCCTCGAGAGCAGAGATTGCTGCAATGCTCAAACAAGAGCCCCTGCCGGCCCATGCTCCGGGTCGTGATCCACAACGTGGTGCCATTGTCAACATTGCTAGCCAGCTTGGAATAGTGGGCAGACCACAAGCTGGTAAGAACCCCCTCCCCTCGTCAGCCTTGACTTGTTTTGTGACCTCGGACTGATCAAGATATATATAGCTGCCTATTGCGCCTCCAAGTCGGCCGTGATAGGCATGACTCGAGGTGATGCAATTGATTATTCAAAAGATGGCATTCGTGTCAACTCTGTCTGCCCTGGTCTTATCGCTACAGCCATGACGACGGGCACCAAGGAGTTGGACGAGCGTATGGGCCCGGCGGCAAAGATCACGCCAATGCAACGGCATGGGCGTCCGGATGAGATAGCCGATGCGATATTGTTCCTCTGCTCGCCCAAGGCGTCCTTTGTTCAAGGCCAAGCCATGGTGGTTGATGGTGGTTATACAATCAACTGAAGGTTGAACTTGAGTAGAGTCAATATGATAGTGTGATCCGACTGTATTGAGCCTTGCTTCACACAACCAGTAGTTCATTGCGAGTCGCTCTAGCTGGTGACTTGGAAGTTCTTCAATTACAAAACATCAATGTTTGCTAAGTCAAAGTGAGCAAATGCGATCATATAACAAATGTGAACCCGATGTGAATGGGAATTGACCGAGTCGAGTGGTGGACAGTCCGGGAGTTTGCCCGACGTGCCCGCCTGTGAGCCGCCGTCTCGTTTAGGTGGCTTCACCCCCTAAGCCCCCCAGAGGGATCAACTTGCGGGGCCAACCTACTTGTTAGCCTAGCATCCATAGCCCGAATTGGAAGTTGGAGACAGTGTATAAACGAACAAAGAGAGCTTGATCTATAAACTGGTCTCGGACTACTACATATCACATCCTCATCAGTCGCTTGCACTCAGAACAACTACCGAAGAAACCAGAAGCCTCCGTCGGCTCACACATAATGGCAGCCACAACGAAGCACAAGGTGCTACTCAACGTGGACATGGGCGAAGCCGTGAGTTGTTACATACCCTACTGTCACTGCGACGAGCGAACTAATGTGACCCGCAGTATGGCAACTGGAGCTGTGGTCCCGACCTGGAGATCTTGCCAATGATCGATATTGCTAATATAGCCTGCGGATTCCATGGGTAACTACGGACACGACTCCATTCCCTCTTTTCCCCTTGTTTCTTGTTTGGAGAGGTCGGAGTCCAACTGACATCCTTGGCCGCAGCGGCGACCCTCTCATCATGGCCGAGACGGTGCAAGCATGCAAGAAGCACAACGTAAAGTGTGGCGCCCACCCAGGCCTCCCTGACCTGCAAGGGTTCGGCCGCCGCGAGATGAAGTTGTCTCCAGAAGAGCTCACGGCCATCACCGTATACCAGGTAGGCTCGTTGAAGGGCTTCCTGGACCGCGAAGGCATTCCCCTGCATCACGTCAAACCGCACGGCGCCCTGTACGGCATGATGTGCCGCGACTACGATGTGGCCAAGGCTGTGATGCTGGGCATCCCCAAAGGCGTGCCCGTCCTCGGCCTCGCTGGTACCAACATGGAGAAGGCGGCCAGCGACGTGGGCGTGCCCTTCTGGGCCGAGTTCTACGGCGACGTCAAGTACACCGACACGGGACACCTGATCCTCGACCGCAAGAAGAAGCCGTGGAAGATCGAGGGCGTCCAGGCACACGTGCGGCAGCAACTCGAACACCATAGCGTGACCTCGGTGGGGGGCCTGACGGTGGAATTGCCCGTGAAAGGTTACCCTGTCAGTGTATGTTGCCATTCCGACTCGCCGGGATGTTTGGACATTATCAATGCTACCAAAGACGTGATTGCAGAGTATAACCAGACACTCAATTAAGTACGAATCAAAAAGAATCATGCATAGTATTTATGCAAGAGCACCTAGACTCATCACTGTTCCCTATGTGGTGTTTTCTGCCGGCACCACACGGAGTTCTTGGTGCCTCCGAATCCACTTCGCGGCATTGAAAGACTACACGCGGATTGCTTGGTCTGAGGGAAAGTCATTCTTTGCACAGAGTGAATCTTTTCAGCCGACCATGCTCGGCTCTGGACAAACGGAACTGCTCGCAATTCCCCCAGACAAATTGGCTAAAGGTGTTTGTTGCTAAATCATCTGCAGGGCCGGACCACATGGTGAAGGATAGTTGGACTCAGTCGAGTTGAATTGCCCACCCACTAGGCAGCAGTTCTCCCTACAATCAATACCATGCGCATCAACATATAAAATGCAGAATAAGTGATCAATCGCCGTGACCAGTTGCGGGGCTGGGTTGAGAAACGATTGTCGATCATCCAATTGCGTAATTCAGCCAAGTTCCGAGAGTCACTACAGCCACCGCTCGTTCGAGAGCCGGCTCGTAGGTAGTATCTCGACAGGCACAGCAGGATCCATGCGGCATTTGCGTCCGACGCGCCTCTCAAGGCACTTCACATTCGGTATCGTCATCCATGCTCTAACAAATCAGCATACTCTTCCAAGCCAATTCCTATAATGTTAATAATAGGCCATTGGATATTGAGCCGGAACATGCGGGACCAGAGTCGCGTGGTTTCCAACCCGAGCTGCAGGGGGCTCAACTGCTCGACAGGTTGTTGGTCGTCGTTGTCGCCAGGGTCGAGTGACGCTCGCCCCTCCTCAACTACGCGCCGGATCCAATGTAGCATACAAACCTCGTCAGCTGTTGGAGTTTGTGTATCAAGAGTCTGATGGACCATGAAAAGCGATTTAGCGAGGAACACTGCACATTCAAATCCTCCAAGGGCATGTCTGACGCTCCAGAAAAAGGCTTGACTTCGGGCAACGTAATCGACACCCTGTCGTACGGGGATGCTCAAAGCATGAATCGCGTATAGGAGCGATGGGATCAAACGAGGGTGACGCTGAGGCGGGTCTAATTCAGACAGTGCCTTTGCAATCAGCTTTGGATCTCGGGTCTCAAGTCGGCGGTGCGGCCCAAGGTTCAGATGCAGGCGGACGTAGGCAAGCCCAAGCAGGGCGCTCGATGTGAACGGGATTGGGCCGCGTTCATCCTTGGGATCTAAATTTGAGTCTGGATTTCTTTGCCAAAGGGTTGTCCAGTTACGTAATGCATTTCTACAGTATCAAACGTTGGTTGAGCCATCGTAATCATGACCAAGCGTTGTAGGGGGGTTTGGTGGCCACTCACTCAAGCTCCTCAAACCGCATTCGGGTCCTGCCAGAACTATCATGCTCGTCTAGCTTTGCAAGTTCGTGGATAAGGTATATTCTGTGAATCAAGCCATGCAGTAGTATATAATTTCCCAGTGATGTGGGTTCCTGGTGAGAGTGAACGGAATTCGGCCCGCTTGTCATGAGGAACGAAAGTGACGCTTGATAGCCTGGTTGAGTCTTGGAGCTAGCATGAGCAGATTGCCATCCAGCTTCGGTCTTGGCAGACCACTCGGCGGGTACGCATGGAAGGCGAAGACCGATTTCGCTACACATCATCACCGGGGGATGATTGTAAGCGATGCTCAATGTATGCATCCAGCAGAAAGCAATCAATTGAATTCGTCGATCACTCTCCGCCTGTGCCCAGTCGGTCCAGCTAGCCGGTGTCGTGGCATCGCTTTCTTCTTTCATGCCAATCAGTCTCAGTAATTCGGAGACAATGGTCTGCATCTTTAAAGACTCTTTGACAAGTTCTGCAGTCTCCCATGCCGCATATCCAAGTAGAGTCATCGAGGATTTTAGAAGATGGAACAAAGTTTGCCGTCTGTTCGGATCCTCTTCGTTAGTTTCATGCCTAGTCTCCTCTGCGGCATGTACGAGTAGCCTAGAAATTCTCTGTGACGATCTAGTTGCCGGCTTTCTTGTCGTTGCTGGCGAGGTGACGTTGCGATAAGTTGACGAACCTTTAACCCGCTTCATCTTTTCCAACACAATGGCTTTCCCAGCGTGAAACAGGCGATCGCCATTGTGGTGCTCGAACCTGTATTGAGAACCCATAGCTGCGAACGCCAAGATCTCCTCAATGGACAAATCTTGAAAGTTTGTTGTCGGTATGTGGATGAAGGGCATGTGAGGCTGGAATCCCTCCCAGAATGAAGTAAGATATCTGGTCCACGTGTGCCTGGAGAAACTTGGAGGTTCTGATATCACGTCACGAAACTCACCAAGCAGATTCTCAATGTGCAGGCGGCGCTCCTCGGAGATCCTGTAGAGTGGAATGGGCAATTCGGTACCTCGTGCACAGTGCTGTTCCCCAACAGCTGCCAACATGCGACCTCCAGACGGAGCTGTAGGAAGCCTGGACCAGAACGGCGATCCAGGCCGCAAGTTCTCGTTCCAACCATTAGACTCAGCTTGATGACCTAGCTCTCGGCTGCCTTCAAATGTCTGCTCGGTCAGCATTCCAAAGTCCCCCAGCTCAAACGGGGCAACGTTGGCGCATGCTGTCGACGAATCCAGGCCTTCCATGTGAGCGGTGATCTGCTGGAGGTGGGAAAGCTCGTCAGCAGAGAAGCTGTACGCAGCACGAGAATCGACGAAATCAGATGGCACAAGTATCGGGTGACTGGAGTCAGATACGCGGGGCGGTGAGCTATCGATCCAATCAATCGCCATCAAGGGCTCTGGGAACATGAGCGGGCTCTGCTCCTCACGCCCCTGCGGAACTACGGTGGCAGAGCTCGAAGCCTGCATATCGCCGCTTTGAGAAGCCGGCGACGGCGTCAAACGACTTTCCGCACTGCTCGCAGACTCTTCCAAGAGGTCTCCCTGACTATGCGATATGTTGACATGGCGTTTGAGCAGGTCCTTCCGAGTAAATACGGCCCCACAATGACATGCATAGGGTTTCTCCTTGGTGTCTGTCCAGCACGGCTGGTTAATAGGACTTCTCGTATTGCAGAGCCGAGGGTTACCTTACGAGTGCGGACGTGCCGGCGCAAATGTTCCACGCGCTTGAAGCCGCGTCTGCAGCGACTACAAGCAAACGGCCTGTCTTCTTCCTGGCCAGGTTTAGATGAGACCGAGAATGAGCTGTACATGTGTTTTGGAAAGAGGGGAGGGAGTCGTCGATCAAGTTCAACTGCTGGGTCTGATTGAATGTTCATGCTCGTGCAGAGATGTTGGTCAATATCAAGTCGAGGTTCACAAAGTTCAAGGTGTCTAATTACCAGAGATAAGGCGTCGAAAGCCTAGGCTGGCCGCCGGGGCAACATGATTAATCAGAGCGATGATGAAATTTAATAGTGCAAGAAGTTGATTGGCGCAGACGCTAGGCCCAGACGCTACTTAGCTGCCGTAGAGGCCCATTGAGGTTAAGGGTTTACCCACCCTTGGAATCAGCGCCGCGCCCTCTGCCGTCTCGGCTTGTGCATTTTATATCCTCGATTCCTGCCAGTAAGAAAAGAACGTTGCCAGTAAGTCGGCGGGCCCTCCTCACTTTCGCAGTGCGAGAAAATCAGTCGTCCATTAAATGTTCTTTATAGTTGTTTTTGGCATACATTTCTACCTTCGCCTCTTTAATGATAGAAAACCAAGCATCTAACCTCGATACTCTGCCTCGCAGGCGCATCTACTGGCGTTGCGGGATCAGCAAATGCCGTATGTCCTGAGCCATGCGCAATGTCCGTCTTTCCGCCCGTCATTTGGTTACTGCTCGAATCAAAACACTTGATAAAGATGACCTCATCCGGCGTCATGTCCTTCATATGATAGAATTGATGCTTTTCGCTCGGAGCAATGGCGTATTGTTCACCCTTGACCTCGTAACCAACGTGTGAGTGTGAAGATGGATCGCTCGAGACCGCCATACCATGCTCATCCACCTTTGGGTACAGTAGGTCTACTTTTACGAAATCGGAGACCTCCATGCTCCGCCCATCGATCACTGCCAAGGGGTGGTCGTAGGCAGGGTTCTGAATAGGCCGCCACAGATTCACAATCTGGTAGCGCCCTCTCAATAGCCTCTCTACCTCTTTCTCGGGAACGTGACGTCGCGCTCGTGCCTCGGCAGCACCAGGACTCTGATCAATGTGAACCAGCTGGACAGGTTGGCGCAGAGACGTTGTGCTTCTCCGCCTTATGGTATGGTCGAATATCACTACCTTTTGCACGCCGTGGAGTTTCTCTTGGATGAGAGCCTCGACTTCGGGATAGTAGACGTCTTGAACCCGCCGTTCATCCGTGAATGTTTTCTCCTCAGAGGGCGCATGATAAACGGCAAAGCCGCAAAGGTCCACTGCGAATTCCTCCTCACGCCCCCGAAGATCATGGACACGCCTCTCGCAATCTATCAGACTGTAAGACTTCCCTGGGCCATCGACTTTGTTCCACGGTTTCTGAAAAGGAGCTGTGGCGCTCGGATTGTATGATCTGGGATCAATATACTTGAAGGTCGCCGTCGTCATCTTGATTCGTTTCGTTCATAGAAAAAGTAAGTAATAAACCGAATTAAATCTAAGCACGGCATCAGCTAATGACAAAGTAGCTAATATACTAGCAATGCGAAAGCGGTCACGACTGGCTGAATAATATTCACCCCGATATCGCACACATTCGTGTCTATTTGATAGAACGATAGCATTTGGGGTAATTACTAAGATCAAAAAGGTACAATATAATTACGTTAAATGTTCTTCAAGTCGTGTTTGCAAAGGATGGAATGATTAACTAAATGATCATCACGGCATGACGATTATCATTATACAACCATAATAATAAGCAGGCCTATAATCGACGGAAAAATCACGAACCTCGAGTTAACTTCAGTTACTCTTTGCCCAGTGTGATTCTTTCTAGTTAGAACGCCTTTTTCACATAAGCCCAACCCACCGCTTATAAGTCAAACTTATTCAAAACCCCGCCCTTCCCCCATAATATGGTTGTTGCAGCAGCGTTTAACTGCTTTTGGCATTATTGGAGAACTTTTTTCCTCCAAATGTCGATATTCGGCTTAGCGCATTTCCGTGAGGCAAGATGATGTGAAGTTCAAGTGAAGACACAATTCTTCAGCACATGATGATTTCATGGGATATAGTGTTTGTTTATTGCCTTGTATCGCTTTGATTCATCTGTTATCTTTCATTTTTGCTTTGAACAGTCAAAGACTCCATGCTCGCGTTTTTGTTGGGGTTCAACTGCTACATTCAATCAAGCTCACTTGCCAGGGACTTGAGCCACATTTGTAAAAAATTATAATGGTAATAATCGTAGAGGGTCTTCGCTCAAACTGAAGATCCACCATAAGCTTTAACGCTAAATCACCTTCTCAAATAGGTGGAAGGTCTATGAGGTGTCCCCAAGCATCTGCAAACAGTTGTAAATACACCGCAATCACCATTATGGGCCATACCGAGAGACTAGGTCTCTAATGTCGCCGAGCATTCTATTCACCATTAGCAACAACTCAACCTAGAATGGCAGGGTACTTACTGGTCTCTAAGGGTGGGATTATCCTTGAATAACGCAGATACATGTGTATTGAAACGACTAGTGGTCATCAGTGAACGCCCAATTACAGCATGACTCTTGACACTCACAGCTTGTAAAGATCTAAACGACCTTGATAATCTTCCTCGGGTGGAGAGATTTGAACGTGCGAATTATATGCGGCCAAGTACTCAGCGCCAAACCTGTTGCACGCGGGCATCCACTGGCCAAACTCATCTGCATCATCAAATTCAGTAGTTTTCCGATTGATTCAAGGTTTGACGTACATTCATTGTGCGCGTAGAAGCAACAACCATCAAACACCAAGCAATCGTCCGTGCTAATGTCAATGCCAGAATTTGCGTACCACAAGTCCCCATGGACTAGTGATGGCTTCACCTTTCTGCCATCACTCTCAAGAGGTCGCAGAAGACGTGGTATCACCGTCTCAAATAATACAGGGAGCAGCGTGTCAAATTCAGGATCAGGGCCCTTTGCCTTAAGTTCCAATTCCAATGCCAATTTGAGATTTTTAGTGAAAAACGTCTCCCAACTCTCTTCCCAGTCCGTCATTTGCGGAAGGTTTCCACTGTAAGTCGTCACATGAAAACCGAATTTACCGGTCGGAGATTGACTGTCCTGGTGTAAGGCGGCAAGGTGGGCTCCAAATTTGTGCGGATCAGGCATTTCATCCACCATGTCCCGATACTCGGAAAGGAAGAAATGTGTATCGAGAATACTCTCATAAGTACCCCATGCGATTGGTCGCGGGACCAGGTGTGGTTGCAAGGCATACATAGCCTTGGCAGATTCGAATTCGCTGCGAACCATGTTTCTGCCAGTCTCACCCGAGATTACTTTGATGAAGAATGATTGGAGACTTCCATCTTCCATCTGAGCATCGATTCGTCCAGTATTTGCCCAGAAACTAACGCCATGACCTTCTGTCGTCTGCACGGAACATCGCTCCGGAAGAGCTATTGATAAGTAAGCGACACCAGTCGGAGAGATCATAGATCAAGATCGTCAGATACGAACCTTGGAGAACTTGCGGGTCGATCACAATGTTCCCATCCCCAAATTCAAGACCGTCGGCACCTTGGTAATTCATTTTCCGCTCTTCGCGTTTTCATGAAGTGAAGCGGGGTAGAAAAATCAGTGCAAACGGATGGTATTCAGGGAAGATGAGACTGTGTCTGCCGACCTCATTGGCGTCGGAGATAAGCGGGGTTGGTACAATGGGCCGTGCCGGTGGACAACAAAGCGGCCCGCGCGAAGTTGGCCAATGGCTTAAGCAATCGTTTACTAGGTACAGGTAATGTACATAGTTTTCAGAGACATTCATAGCAGTTATAACAGCACAGGAACATGACTCGATGTTTGTAGAGTATATTAATTGGATTATTCGGCACGCGATGACGGCGTGAATGCGGTTTTAAACTCCCAATTTGCTTTGCCCGCTGTCCTGCCTGACCATGCCACGCAGGCACCCGTCAGTGCCCCGCCATCGATACCTCCATCAGTTCTTGCTGCAACCCATCGTTTATCTTCACAAATTGCACACCAGAACTTTCAAGCACTTTTCGCCCCGAGTTGTCCTTGATGAAAGTATCTGGCTCACTTATGCCCACGTAAACTGTCTTGATCTGCGATTTGAGAGCCACGATTCTATCAACGCAAGTTCTGTTTCCGCTAAGTCGTTCGTTGCAGGGCTCCATAGTTGTGTAGAGCACCGTGTTCGGAGGCAGGACCTCTGCGACGCGATCGTCTGGAAGATGATGTCTTTCGGCGAGTTTGATCAAGCAGCACTGTTCCGCGTGTGTAGTGCCCGGATCGCCAGGTCGGTCTCTTGGGTACTCCAAAGAGAACCCCGTCGACAGGATCTCATTCTTGTCTGCGTCAACCAGAACTGCGCCGACACAAAACTTGTTGGGTCCTGGAGGCGATAGTCGGGCTCGTGTGATTGCATATTGCATGTAAGCCCTGTGGTCACCAGGGGCAATTGGTGTGTGAGGTTTGTCGTCCGCCATTTTCAGAGAAACTTGCGCTGAATGGATAAGACTCAGATCTACGGAGTGCTCAGTGCAGAGATTCGAGCAGAGATATGGACGAAGTATGGACAAACCTTCCGATCGGATCCATCCCGGCCTGGCAATCTCACAGCAGGCTGGCCTTGGAAGTGGGCTCGGCGCTTAAAACCTCACTGTTACTGGCCCGGCATGATGCTTGTACCCAGATATTTAATCCCTGCAGCAGGCTAAGCGTTCACACGTAGATACAACATGCCCGGGTCATTCCCATCCACTGGCTCTCCACCATGCGGGCGTGCAATTCCATTGATTTATGGCAGATTATCAGGCAAAGACCTTCGTAGTTACGAGCACTTGGACCAGAGCGCTGACGAAGAGCCTATGATTCACTGCTGAAGGGTTGGTGGTTCGATGCTGATATAGATGCATCCGCGTTCGGCTTGCCTCGGCACTATGTGTTTATGGACGGCAACTGGCCTGAAATGGTACGTTACGGACAACCTTCTATTCCCCGAGAGCTTGAGCCACGCCCTCGCCTTGTGAACGTGTATGAGGTGCTAACTGATATAAAGTCATTCACGGCCGATCGTCGAAGCGAGCGCAGTGGTTCAGATCGAGCCTTCGATCGGCCAATTCCCAATCGCCCAAGCACCGTCGAGACGAGCTCCTCATTGCAGTCAAAGTCCAGCTCGGCCACCGATCGTGACGATGGTGCGACCGACCCAAGAGGTTCTTTGGGACTCAATCTGCTTCATTCGCCATCTCAACCAGCTATTGATTTCATATTTGTCCACGGCTTGGGTGGAGGGTCAAGAAAGACATGGAGCAAGACCACTTCCATGAAGCATTTTTGGCCGCAGGAATGGCTACCCAAAGATCCTGCATTTCAAGATGTTCGCATATACAGTTATGGCTACGACTCAGACTGGGCGAGAGGCAAAGAAAACATACTGAACATACATCACATCGGCAAGTCCTTTTTGGGAGAACTAGAAACGACACCACATCTTTGCACGTCCAAAACGCCAATTGTTTTCATTGGCCATAGTATGGGTGGGCTCGTTATAAAGCAAGCATACATGCTGCTCAAGCAGAGTGGAGAAAGCAGTACTATGTCTGGGCGATTCAACAGTATCTTCTTCCTTGGGACACCGCATCGGGGATCTAGCTCTGCAAAGCTCCTCAAGAATATCTTGCAGATGACGTACTCCCATCGAGCGTACGTGGCAGACTTGGAAAAAGGTTCCGATGCCATCCAGTCAATCAACAATGAGTTCCGGCAATACTCGATGGACCTCAGTCTTTGGTCATTCTATGAAACCCAAAAACTTAGTCTTGGGCTATTCAATACGCTCATAGTCGACCCAGAATCAGCAGTCCTGGGATATCCACAGGAGAAACAAATGCCAATGAATGCCGACCATCGCTCTATTTGCAAGTTCGAAACACCTTCAGACCCAAATTTTCTTATTATCAGAAATTCACTGGCATTTTCTGCCAATAGTATTCGCAATCTTGGTAAGACAATAACCGTGTCTTCCCGTTCCTTCAGTGCATAGACTAATGCTGCGCAGAAGCCAAAGTCATAACCACCGCGACGCCCTTTGAAGTCGAAAATCTCAGAACTTATCTTAAAGTTTCCCATGATTTTCAGGATGATCTGGTAATGGCAGAAGATTCTCGAATGGATGGCACCTGTGATTGGCTTCTGGAGAAACAAAGTTTCCGCAATTGGCGTGACTCTCCTAGCACAACGTCGCGAATCTTATGGATCTCTGGTCCACCTGCGACAGGGAAATCAATCCTTGCTGGATACGTGGTTGATCAACTCCGCAAGGCCGACTGCAATTGCAGCTTCTTCTTCTTCAAACACGGGGATAAATTCAAGTCTCGACTATCGTCCTGCTTGAGTTCACTTGCATTCCAGATGACTCAATCCAGTGAAGACGCGAGAAGAATGGTTTTGAGCATGTCAGATGAGAAGCGCGACTTCCATCGAGATAACGAGCGCTTGATGTGGCGAACGCTTTTCTCCTCCGGAATATTCCAGGCTGGAATTGCGAGAACTTACTGGATAATTGACGCCCTGGACGAATGTGTTAATTTTTCTCCATTTCTCGATACCATGATCTCAAAGCTCGACAGTGCAGTCCCTCTGAGGATATTGATAACGAGCCGTGAAACTCCAGAGATTGGCCAGCTCCTCGGCGGCCTCAGCATGCCAGACGTTCTGGCTGAGAAGATATCTGTTGCAGACACAGCGTCTGATATCTATCGCCTAGTGGATTCCAAAGCTAAGACCTTCTTAGCTAGGTCTGAAGATGACCGCAGAGCTTTGGTGAACAAGATCGTCAGCAAATCCAAAGGGTCCTTCTTGTGGACAACACTTGTACTCAGAGAGCTATCAAACACATACACCGAAGAGGGAGTAGCGCAAGTCCTTGAAGAAGTTCCCCGCGGTATGAATCAGCTCTACAGCAGAACACTCGCATTCATGGCTCAGATGCCTCGGAGCAAACCACTTGCTACGGCGATTTTGACATGGGTAGCTTGTTCAGCACGACCATTGACCACAACCGAGCTTGAAGGTGCACTGAGTCTAGACGTACCCGGGGCATACACCAACCTGAAAGACACTATTCTTGCACTTTGTGGTCAGATGGTTGTGGTTGACAAATTTGACAAGGTTCAAATGATCCATGAAACAGCTAGAGAATTTCTTTTCAACAAGGATATGGTATCAGAATTCTCTATCGAAAAAAAAGCGGCTCATGCCCGAATTGCCAAGGTTTGTCTTACGTATCTTGCCAGCGAAGAACTGAAGCCACCTCGAATGCCACGGCGTACGAAAGCTCCACACAAAAGGATGGACTTCGCAGTTTACGCTTGTATCGCCTTTTCGTATCACCTAGCGCATTCGGATCCTCAGAACGGTGATGTCTTGCGGCTTCTCGATCGCTTTTTAGGTCTTAACGTCTTGTCGTGGATTGAATTCATCGCCCAGGGCGGAAATCTCAATCCCTTGGTTAGCGCGGCAAAGCATTTTCAAGTATATTATAACGAGGCTAGTGCAGAACGCTCGCCACTAGGGAAAGACATGCGCACAGTCAAGTCCTGGCAGACAGATCTTGTTAGAATATCAGCAAGATTCTCAGAAGCGATCCTAGCATCTCCAATCTCCATCTTCTTCACCATTCTACCGTTCTGTCCTTCCGAGTCCGCAATTCGAAAGACCTCGTTTGCGTCCAGAAAACTGTCTCTCCATGGTCACTCAGAGACCCAATGGGATGATCGATTGACGTGCATCGATTATTCCGGCTATCAAACCACCGCTGTGGGAAATGGCGAAGGTGTCTTCGCAGTAGGGCTTTCCGATGGCGCTATCAAGCTTTATCACGCGATGTCCTGCCAAGAACTGAGGTCGCTTCAGCATGGCGAAGCAGTGAAACTTTTAACCTTCAAGCCCAAATCCAACCTTCTGGCATCCTGTGGAAGCAGACAAATACGGTTATGGAACACATCGACTGGCGAAAATCTCCGGTCACTCTCGGTGCCCCATCGCATAATTGGGATAATCTTTGATGCTGAGCGGCTACTTGCTGCGTCTTGCAAAAGCTATCTGACAACCTGGATTCTGGAAGACAATGAGGCTGAGCCCAGCATAGTCTCATGGGCAAGATCCAGCGAAGGCTCAAAGCCTCGGGCCCAACAGCCTCCAAATGCCATCTCCATCTCTACAGAACATGGTTTACTCGCTATTGCGCATAGCGGTCATCCGGTCATTCTCTGGGATATCGAAAGTGAATCTCTGTATGGAACCTGTGGTAAACGTCTTCCCAACGGCGAGACCAGTACCCATCGTGTAACTTCGCTGGTTCTCAATGCCAACCCTGGACTAGAGTTACTGGCGATATCCTATCTTGATGGAGACCTTGTCATTATGGATCCCTTCTCTGACCTGGAGATCGAGTCGGTACGCGCTGAGTGTCATACGCTAGCTGGCAGCCCTGATGGGCGATTTCTTGCCGGAGCAGCGGGCCACGGCACCATCAAAATATACGAATTCGAGACTTTGAAGCCGGTTTACAGCATTAGAGCTGCGAACTACTTCATCAAACAGATCGCTTTTAGTCACACCAGTCTTCAGCTAATTGATATTCGAGGGGCACAATGTAACGTATGGGAGCCTGCTGCGCTTGTGCGTAATTCCACGACGGATGACAGCAGTGAAGGCACATTGATGTCTGTTTCAGAAGCAGATGCAAGACCAAGTCACCCCAGAGTGGAGAGCCTGGCCATCAATCCCAAAGACGATGTTGTTTTCTGCGGTAAAGCTGATGGAATTATCAGTGTCTACAGTTTGAAAGACGGCAGACTCGTAAAAGATCTCTACAAGCACAAATTACAGATCAGGGTCTTGATCTTGTGGGAAAATCAGAACGTCATCCTGAGCATTGATGCCTCGAATGCTATTCTTGCAACAAAGGTATCAAAATCGACGGACGGGAAGTGGGCTGTAAAGGAAGTATTCTCCTCCCGGATTACTTCGGCATCGCCTGTCACCAACCTTTTACATGCTGAGCTTTCTGCTCATTTTCTTGCTTGGTCGCGGGAATCTGACCATCTTTGGACAATTGAGGGACGAGAAATCGCGTCAAGGACACATGAGACTCGCGATATTCCTCGAACATGGGTAAATCACGCATTCGATAGATCTCATGTGGTCTGCACTGATATCCAATCTGTGTCCATCTACAGATGGGAGAACTTGGCTCCAATTGCCCGTGTAAATTTGTCATCAACTCCTCGGCACCTGCAGATGAAGAATGCAATCAGTCTCGGGACGAACAACGATTGGCGCTTGATTCTGGAACTCTCAGAGTTGAATGGCCCAGCCACTACGGAAATGCTGTACTTGGTGGACCCATCCATCGTGTCTACTGTCCCAGTTGCCGCAAGTAATGGATCGAACCAAGCGACTGCTGCTTCGATAGCATTGGGCCTACAACTGAGCAGCCTGGCGAATCAAGTATCGCAGGTTCTTGGCGTGATTGACACAGGAAAGCTTCTCTTCCTAGATATTCACTCCTGGATCTGTTCCATCAATCTCACAAAATTAGAGGATGGGGTACGGAGCTACTCTAGGCACTTCTTTGTTCCATATGACTGGTTTTCCGGATCTAGAAATGTAGTATGTTCTCTAGGGAAACGGGACGTCGTACTGACACGAAATGGCGAAGTTGCTGTGATCAGAAACTGGATGATATTCGAAGAGCAAGTTCTACTTGAGCTTTGACAAATGGTAGTCATCTATGCTGCAGTCAGTGTCGACATCATATCTAATGATGCAGTTACATTAATTTAAGCAGGATAGCTTGATTTTCGATCACATTGTTCCAGATCACAAATGATGATCACTACTTCAAGACTGCTCAACAATTTGCTGATGTAATGCAGTCTAAGATGATTAAGATCGCCGACTCTCCATTCGCTAACTCAAATACCATACGGACAGCACTAAGTCTTGAATTCCTCATAACAGAATTACATCGATTGGCTCTTGAACTGGTAAGGAGATGTATACTTCTTCTTGGACCATGGCCATGACGGATTAGGGTGCTCGTATGTCTTAGGATTCATGATCTAGGCCCCCGTGTCCAATTGTCTGTGTAGTATCGGTTCTGAGTTGGTGCTGCGGAAGCCATAATGATGGGTTCGCTGGGAAAGTATTTGCGCGCAATTACGTCTCGTCAGCTCAACAAGGAGGATATGCCACTAGTCGATGTCTATGATGGACAGAGACATCAAGGGGTTAGGTCAATTTACGGGCTTTGATTAGTGAAATTCATTTAGGAAGGGGGGTTTCGGGAATCGTCAAGGTGGTGCTTGCCAGATTCAGGGATACCCAAAGTTCGCGTCTTCAACGTACCGGGAAGGTGCATTACTTGCATGTAAACAATCTAGGTACAAAAGCTGGAATTCGACTCACTCATCTTGAACTTGGCATGGTAACCAGCAGACAAATTCAACTTTTCATCAATTAAAACCTCGATTTTCATTACAAATACCCTTACCGGACAAACGCTCGAATAGTAGGACATTGCTGGTGGTTGTCAAACATAAAACAGAGCGCTCTCGACCGCCGAAGAGCCGGCATATTGACATCGATACAACTTGCGGTCTCGCATACCGATTGGCGAATGAAAACCGCCCTGTGAGTCCTAAGAAACTATTTCCTTTTCTTGCTTTTCTCTCTCCGCTTGCCTCTTCCAAAACAGTCTGCTTATGTAGACTTGTGACCCCGTCTCATTCTGTCCAAAGTTCGCAGTCTGTCCCTCGAAAACACCACTGAGAACCCGAAGCCCGATCCCAGATCACCAAAAGACTGAGAAAATCAACTATGCTTCTGACTCCTACCATGGAGGCCCAACCTTACAAGCCCAGCGATATTGAAAGGCAACAACCTGGGAGTTGCTTATCATCCCCGAACCCGGAGGCGGCGCTTTCTCGAAAGCTGGAGACTCTGGGTCCTGTGTATTCGACCTGCACGGCCGTGTCATCGGGCTTCTTGTAGGTAGTAACTGCGAGGTTAGTGGAAATGGGAATTGGGAGAGGGGCATAAATCCAGAAAACAATGGTCCTCGCCTAATCAAAACATACTCCGGCGAGAACATCGACATCGACATCGAAGACCTTACGGGACAACGAACACGCCTGGCGCGATGGTGATGGAATAGACCACAGTGTGGCTGGTCAGTGTAGCACCCTTCGGATGACACAAAAGGGAGTTATTAAGTCTGTTTGTTCACACATTGATTTCGTAGATGTAGACCATCTTCAATATTATTCTTTGTTTTGGACACAGGTGTATCAGCGATGGTGTAGCGCAGACCATACTGCAAGTAAAAGATTAATCAAGAAGTCTATGGTATTATCTGCATAACTTTTCTTTTAGAAAAGAAATTTAGAGGGGAAAACTGTCTTATTAGTGGTAATGCAGCAATTCGCCTTGGGCGATCGCTCTTTTCTTCGCTTAGGTGTATAGTTAATGCGACAACTGCTGATCTTATAATTGTCGGTGCTTGCTCAATACAAGCTATCCCAATTAATGAATCTGGCAACTAATGAGAAGTGGTTGCGTGTAGATGAGTGCGCAATGGTTTGGTGACGCTGTCTCGGGGCCATTTGTGCTGAAAGGTAATAATGTTGGTCCGTCGAGAATGACTTTTGTGGTTTCCCAGTTCTGGTTGATCAGGATAAACAATGAATTCTCCTTATGCTTACAGCTACTTTCGTCAGCTACATTGATTGATCAAGTCCTTGCTTTAAAGACTCACTCGTGACTTTATTTCCGAAACTCCTCGGCAAGCCAACCTCATAGCAGGGATTGTGACTGCCAGAGTTCATTAAGAGAATGTTTAGCAGTACCAAGAATCCTCAAGTGCTTTATGATAACATGATCAAGAAGGCAATATAGTATTATTCTTCGATAATGATACGCGACAAACGTACCACATACTTAGAGGTTTTCGAAAAAGAGGTACTGCGAATCGTGAGTATTATGTTGCCCAGCCCTGTATTGAAATGATTGAGATGAATTATTTTCATAGTCTCTCAAGACGAATGAACGTCTCGAAAGACTGTGGAAGGGGTTGGATATGATGATTCTGAGGAATCGAAAGGTCCGGAGGCTGATTCTTTTATGTCCCCGCGACTGCATATGGGGCATCCGAAACTGCAAACCGAAGGTCGTCCCGGCTCCGCGCACAACAATTCGCAAGATCGATACCAGTGACAAGGACGTCCAGGACAAGGCAGGTATCATGCATCCTTCGTATGGTGCATTCAGGTCTAAACACGTATCAAACCAGATTGTCTCTCTTGTAGCTCTACTGCAATGACAACTGGCACTGAAAACGATCTCAGAGCCTCAGCAGGCCAGATACTTGACCATCTTTACGTGGTTGACCGTGGTCTTTGTGAGTGATTAAGGACGGCATGGGTCAATTGAAAATCTTTTGTGGCACACGGGTCTGTAGTCACCAACGTCATTCATCATGTCACTCCTTGCACTGCGGGTTGAGTCGTTTGTTACCATGGCATGTGGTAAGGGTCTTTCATCACTCCGAACTTGGCAGATTCCAACCTTACTATTCGATATAAAGTTGCCAATATTGTCACGACAATTGCTCTGTGAGCTTTGTTGTTTCTTGGATGAAGTACGGCTGTAAGTTTAGAAACTAACTACATGAAGCAGCCAAGAATCGAGTTTCATGACGACCGAGAATATATGCCCAAGATCTCAGATAGCGACTTTGAGAAGGCCACCATGATATCAGGATGCGATGTCGAGGACTTCCGGACCATGTGTAAATGTGCTCAAAATGGTTCAACGACAAACACAGAAGAGCATGCACACAGGGTCAACATTAGGCACCACGGGCTCTGCACGACTACCAGTATCAACTATCATTTAAAATCATGGTCAGATTACGAGATTATGTTACTTTGGTTTCCTTCTACAAGCCCTTGTTTACTGAGCAAGACTATCCTAATTGCACCCAGTACCTCCTGTTTTTTTTTTTCTTTTTTTTTCTTCAGAGCACACTATCGTCGAATTCGAATCCGCCCGAGGGACTACCAAGTCCTATGAGAACATAATTCTCTCGACTCCCTATCCGAAAGGTTTGCTTCGCACCAGTCTGAGCTTAAGTGAATGAAATGGCACGCGGTACAACCTTAGCATCGGGCCGCGAGGTTGGAGCTTGAAGGTTTGAACGGGTATAGGCTTGAAACCCCCTTAATTCGGACTCATATTGCAGGATTTACTATTTGATGAAGAAATATCTTACGCCCCAACCATTGGTAGCATAATCAAGTTACCCCAGAGTTTCAAAATAAAACTTATACGACATAGTATCTATTGAGATCATAGTATTCGTAATCCCCCCACTCGACAGGTCCGGCTCTATAAACGCCTCGGCGGACATAACCTCTTTACTATCGATAGATAGTGTCGCGGAAATGCGCTTTGGCCCTCAAAGGGACTTTTTTACTGCAGAGGTTGGCTTCTCTCGCCCGAGTCAAGCCCCCGAAAAGGACCACCTTAGGATACGTAGGCGCATGCTTAATTGGACTCTCCATCACCAACCAAAGTTCAGCGTACTTTGGTAGGGCCCAAGAGTAATCGCCGAACAGGTCCAATCACCCAAAGGCGGTTGGCTCTAGTCAGGCGAGATGAGATCACATCAAACCACAATGTCGAGGGAACACTAAATCTATGCACCGGCTTATCCCCTAGCTGCAGATCAAGGGCAAGGCAAAGCCACTGGCCAGGAAGGGGACCAAAGGGGACCATAGTTGGGACTTGGCTCAGCTGTCAAATCCGAGCAAGTAAACCCGCCGGCTTCACGATGGTTGCCCGACGGTGTGAGAGACGGGTCCGTGGCCGGCGTCTTTTTTTGGTTACCCTGCCTTGCCTCCCCGTCCGTAGTCCGGGTACTAAGCATCTTAGCGGAGACGGACAGCAATTAACGACACTCCCTTAGGTGCTAGGTCCATACCAAGGTTGGCACAAGTTTTTGGTCCGCTTCTTTTCTCGTCCCTCTACTAATCTCCAGCCCTTTTTGCTTTGTGACCCTATCGGCTTCCTTCGTAAGCAGCAACCTGTCGCTTTCCAGGCGGAGAACAAAAAAAACTGGGAAACAAGAAAAAGAGGACAGGTCACCTACCAACACCAACCAACCAGCCCGCATGGCTTTTTGGCGTTAGGGACGATCCTCAGGGGCTAGACCTCCGTGGACCCTTTGGTCTTCCCATCCTCGTGGCAATGTGGAACTCTTCGCTATGCTCTTCAATTCCCAGGTGCCACAGGCCCCGGAGCGGAGAGGGCGTTGAGGCGGGTTGGCGGGGTTCGTGGATGTGTGTTGCATTTTTCTTCACCGACGATACATGGTGAATTTCGGGGCCAGTCACAAACCCACTATTGACCGCAGCCATGCTGGCAAAGGTCGGCGGTGAAACTTATTTTCGATAGCCACCATCTGAGCTGTTATTAAGCCTCCACTTTTTCCTTGTTTATCTGTTATCGTGATCCCGACCTGCTGTGAAACAGGTCCATTTTGACAACGTGGTCTTGGATAAGGGACCCCTCGGGACCCTTCCTGCCGGCGCTTCCACACCCGCAGAATGATCGCCTTTGGGAATGAGCAATTTTTCCGTATATTCCGTGAATTCGTTTCCCCTGCCTCAATGTTTCCGCCCGGACCCTTGCTGCTGCTGTTCTTTCGTGTCATT